GGCCACCTGCTAACTTAACTCCTGGCTTGAGGGATGATTTGCATTCCTGCGGCCTGTTGCCTGGCATGATTACTCCTAGCACTTCACAATCCCATCTACTGTTTAATACCGTGGATTCTTTCCAATTCAGCTACATTTCTTCCTTTTCTGTTACGCGGGAGCTGCTATGAATGAGCCCCTATTTGAGTTCACCTAAACTACACAGCCCTCACCAAATCAACCTCCTGACCACATAAAGGGAAAGAGTAACAAGTGCCATACTCAGGGCAGATTAATATAGCGGCGCCCTTCTCCTCGGAGACCCCCGTGGTCAAAAACAGGCAGCAGTGAGTCAGAGGTGACTTGACATTCATCAGATCAGCACTTCCACTTCTGAAACATGTTGGAAAAAGGTCATCTTCACGAAGGGTCTCTAGTGAATAATTCATGAATCATGCTCTCAGGTTAACAGAGTGTCAAAACATCTAGCTGGCTTTACAGAGACCAAGTTACGTAATGTCAGGATGTGTTTCCAGGTGTTGATATTCGGATTTTTCTTCTACAACAAACATATTCATTATCTTAACCTGATTGAGAAAACAGATACGTCCACGTGAGCGGCTGTTTAGAACACGCCCTTTTGTTCAGCAAAAGTTATATATCTAGTGAGGAGAGATCATCTTGAAGCTCTTAGCAGGCTGGAGCTGGTTGGCTATCGTTTTCCAAACCATCAAAAGCAGGAATATGTTGATTAATACTGCCAAACAAAAAAGCTGATCTCACGAGGCGCAGATTTTTTTCAGAGTTGCTTCTGCTCAAGATGTCCTAACAGATCAATTCATGCAGGCTGCAATATTAAGCAGTCTGTTCTTTATACAATAAGGATTAAATTAGTGTATATATGCCTCAGACACATATGCTTAAACTTCAAAGATTCATAGTATCAAAGTCACACAATAAGCAACAGTTGAAGGAAGACATTGACCCTAAATATGTTAAGCGATTATGACGCGGAAGAATTTCCTTTTTCCTTATTTTATTTTGAACATGTGTATTTTTCATGGCAAAATCTCCTTAAATGTTAAAGGCTTCACAGGCATGCAACACTTCACATAATGATTTACTTACAAGTTTTTCCAAAGTATTTCTCTTCATTTTGTAAACAAGTGTGTTAAAGGAGAACATTTGTAAAATATATATAGAATGAAGTCAGCCGTCCATGTAAGAAATGTTGGATTTACACAAACTGTGAAACTAAACATTTATTCAGTCTGGAGTTTAATGTGCTAGTGACTGTAACGGCACACTTTTAGTTATATTTAATTTGCTCTAATGCAAACGGGTCAGATGATTGACATAATGGTCAAATTTTGGTCAATCTAAAACAAGTACAAAAAAAATTGTTATTGTGTCTTTGCTTTAGTAATTCCATGTTTTATTGATTTACCCTCGCTTAACCGGAGGCCCTTTTTTTCTTTCTGAGGCTTAAAGTTTATTTTCAAAGTGTCACCTTGCAGTCCATCCACAAGGCAAGTGAAATTGTATCTAATAAAAATGTTGTGCAGTTTACCTTATTCATCTCCCCACATATGGTTCTCCTTATTTGTGTTCTGTGGGTGGGCCATGACTTCCATACAGCTCAATCAGTCCCTCATGAGAAGGGAGACCATATGGGTCGCATTTTTACACGTTGTTTGGTATGACAAGGCTGCAGCAGGACCGGCGAGGAATGTGTCCCGACAGAGGGCAACGCAGAAGCACCGTTGTGTTTGCTTGTTATTCACATATATGCACATTAGCTTCCCCAGCCGGCGAGGAGAGGGTTTTGGGTTCTCAGCTTTACAACAGCCTGTTTGTGAAGTCGACTGTCACTTCCCATTAACACTAGAAGTGGCACCTGCGCATTTAAACCCCTTTCTTTATTTTGAAATCCTGTATTTTTAGTGTGGATTTAACACCTGCATTCAAATACGGCTGAATTTCATTAGCAATGCTTTCATTAGGTGATTTCATGAATATTCTAAATGTATACATTTAAAACTTCTGATACTTTGTAAGCCTTGTGTTTTAAAAGTAAATCTTTAAAGTTGGGCTTTGCATTTTCTACATTGTGTGCAGCATTTATGAAACATGTTTTTCCATGACCATCCGGAATAAACTTTTCTTTAGTATTCTTCTTCTGTGGTTTGTCTCAGGAGAAACAGAAAGCCTCAAAGAAACAACACATAAAATGTGTAAAAAAAGTTTTAAAAGGAAAAATACAAACCAAAACAGATGCACAGGATATTAAACTGTTTTGTCAAGGATGTCTCAATCCTGTAATAATCGTGCTGATTTACTGTATCAACAAGCCCTCTTGCTAATGTTCAAAATGCTGCCAAAACAGAGAAGAACCAGGACATTTCCAAGCACAATTATCAACTAAGGGAAAAAAGCAACAAAAAAGCAAGACAGAAGAAGCGAAAGTCACTCCTTTAACGTAACCCTGTTCTATTAAAACCAGTTTCTACACAAAAAAACGAATCAATATTTCTATAATATCTGTACTTCGAAGTCTCTTTAGGTTTTGGGGACTTCAATTGGGTAAATGTCTCAAAAAAGTGGATCTTGACTTGCTAAGCAAAAACTAATGTTAACACAATATTTGGCACATCTGAAGGTTCTTTTTCAGGTGTTTTATTTCTCAACTACACACATTCCTACATGAAGCTTTTGGAAACAGGGATGATGTGTTTGGTGTTGTCAGTAATACAGTATTTATCTTTTACAGTACAGGGTCATGTCTCCATTTACAGTCCAGTTTTTTCTATAGACAGTGTAGACTGCTTAGACTGAGTTAAAAAACAAACGTCACAATTTATTTGAAATTATTATCTTAAAGATTTAAATCCCAATTTGATCCTAATTATATCCATATTTAATGGCTGTTTAAGTTCAACAATAAACAAAGTGTCATTGTGTCTTCTTTGGTTTAATTGTAAAACAAACATTACGCTCAAAAAGAGTAAGATGAGAAAGTATTAAAAAAGCAATCCAACAATACTCAGCTCTACACTAAGATGGTTGCGAGTTGTTTACGATTGGCTGTCCTGTTCATTGTTCCACACCACAATGAAAATAATGAATAATACATGCGTTTAGAATTCAAATAGAGAATGTCAACAGTCACCACTTAACCCACCTCATGTGAAGTCTGGCTGTTGTACATTTTTACTGTGAAATTCAATTTCTTCCACCAAGGATTCGGATACACTGTCGGAAATCTCTATGCTTTATGATCCAGTCGCAGCAGTAATCCAGCCATGAAGTCCTCTGCGGTACAATATAAAAGTCTGCTCAAGCTGCTTAGAAACATCCGCTCGAATGTCTTTGTGACAAGTGGTATATTCCAGACAAGAAAAAACGAAATGAATGTACTGTAGCATGTCATTTTGAATGATATGGATATATTACACCCAACTGATTATTAATTAGTGGGTTTTAAAGTGTTTAATAAATGTAGATTAATTCATTAGTTCATTAGCTTGATCAGGCGGGTGCCACAGCGTTACTTTATTCTGCATATACAGAGAAAAGTAAATTGTATTCCACAGTCCTGATCACATGTGGACACAACACACAGGTCAGTGGCTTTTGTGACTGAAGCCACAGGGCGCTCTGTGGTGTGATTACTGTGAGGATAATCTTTAACACACATGCTGTCTCTGAGGAGAGCTGTGGAAAGTTGGCTCAGAAAAGCCTTCCTGAAGAATCTGTAAGGTAGGCTCCTATTTTTATCATAGCTTTACATTTTATACAAAAAAGGTGTTTGTGGTCATTTTTTCTCTCTTGAGTTTAATATAATGGAAACGAGATGGAGGGGCTGATGCCTTTCCTTCCATAAGATTATTTATATATGTTAATTCTTTGCTGTTTTTGTACAGCATGTGGTATACATGATTCAATTCCAATCCCACACCATCCGAGTGTTTCTTTAGGACTGAGTGTGAATTATTCTAACTACACAGTATATCCAACAAACACTTCAAATTGTTCTGGTTATAAAACACAGTCATGATTACGGTAATGCTTTCAGTGCGATGATCATGTGCTATTTACTCAGCATCAGGACTCTCTTGTTGTTACAGTCCAGTTAAATCCATGATGTAGAAATTGAAGACGGATGGAGGATGAAAATTGATTTAATCTGGTTCCTGTTTTCTTTCTCCCACTTTGTTTTCAGTGTATATCAGAGAGCTTAAAACCTCTTTCATGCCCTGCCTAAACCTGTACCCTATAAAGCAGTGTTTCACATCTGTTTCTTAGCACAAAAAAATCTTTCTTTAAGACACAACTGTTCCAGTTCAGCAACACGTTGTGACACTTGTACTGTTTGAGTTGTATTTAATCTTTTGAGGCATTCATCATGTACTTTGTCTCCAAAATCCTCATGTTTAAGATATATTGTTCTCAGGAGAGAGCTTCCAAACAAGCGCTGAGACATCCTTTTTCCTGTCAAGAAATATCTGTTAGCCTAATCTACACAATCGTAAAAGAGTATTGTCCCTTTAGAGTTTAACCTGTAGAAACCTCTTTAGGTTTGTGCATATATTTTATTAGACAGTAGCCTAATCATTAGACTCATTTGTCATTTTTCTTCACACCATTATTTTACTCTTTATTCTCTGAACAAATTGAATATGTTTGCAGTGATTTGTGGGGTCGAGATGTAGGATCATTTGTTAATGCTGTTCTATGCAATCCCTCTATTGGATTTGATTGCAAAATGCCCTAATCTTCCATCCTGTGTACACTCTAAAAGTGAGATTAAAGAAATAAAAACGACTTCAACTCAAAGATGTCATTGTAAGTTAGACCTGTTAAATTGTATTTGTTATTCTTATAAAAACCTAAATATGTACTACAGAAAAATATACTTTTTTTACACATGTCAGATGACCTGTTATATAATACGATGTCTTTGTAAAATGTCAAAACCTTCTCCACTTACATACCATCATAGACTTTAAGTTTCCACTCACCTGCATTACATTGACTCCTAAAAGCAGGAAAGCCCCTGAAGGCCAGTTCTTTAAAGTGACCCTCTGCAGCTGGCATTTGTCAAGATAAACCGTGGCTGCCGAGTTCCCTTGAAAGTAGAAATGTAAAAGGCCAGTGAGGGTTAATTGGTTGATGCAGTTATCATTTATTGAAAAAAAGCCATAGAAAAAACGACTTTTCAAGGAAAAGTCTTCATTTTTCTGACCATAGACTGCAAATACAAATGACAACTGATCTTAGGAAGGTTTCATTATATTATATTTCTTAACATATACTTTTGAAGTTCTATGTAGAGTAAACATGTCCAACGCTGTACACTAGGAGACTTTCTAGAGAAACAATTTGCATGAACTCAATGTTTCAGCAAATGCGGTTTTCATTATTATTTGGGCTTTGACACATTTAAGGCACAGATTTGCAGACATCTGAAAGAGTTTAAAGGCTCACAAACCACAGAAACCATGACATTGTTATTATGATTTTCAGGAAAATATAACAATAGAAAAATCCTCTGATAATTCTTTTTTTTATTAATCTAAAAAGCTAAATAAAATGTTTTAAAATGTAAACCTTTAATTCTACACAATTCCACCATTCACATCTGCTGCACTGTTATTGGTTCTATCCTCCAGAGAGCCATGAATAGGCGATTAGAGGCAATACGCAATTTTTAGAGGGTGGCAACTGATAGACATCAACTTTGAAGTCTGCTACAAAAAAGCCTTTTTCATGGCTGATCATATGAGTCGCCCTCCTCCCCTGAGAGAGAGGTAGAGGTCTCTCATCACAGAGCGGTTTAGCGTGGTGGGATGGCTGAATGCTAGGACTTCATTAAAGCCCCTCTATTGTTAACATCTGGGTTCAGAAGAATGGCTCTTTCTCTGGTAAATGTTGCCCTGGCTTAACAAGGGATTTTATTACACCATGCAGTTGACATTGGCAGCAGTGGCAAGTCTGGCAATGGAAACCCTTCGACTGTTCAGGTCACAGGAGATCAATCAAAGCAGCCCGTTTCCCTGAAGCCTTCACTAGAACAGGGAGTCAAATGTGTATCAAATGTTGTTGTTGAACCAAGATGTACAACTTTTTTGTGAATTCTGGTTAAAATGTTTCCACAGTGAAGAAAGCACTCAGTACCTAGCCCTCCCGATTTAAAGTTGTACAGACTCTTCTTTCCTTGCTGTATCTTTTTTTCTGCCCTGCACCTGCATTTCTTTTTTTAGATGCACATAATATATCATCCCCATAATCACACAAGAACTCCCAGACTAAAGTGCAGAACTAATCTCCCATATCACTCCATTTGCGCTTCACACCATCTCCTCTCCCCATCCCCCTCTGTACTGTATAAACCCCTCCCTAGTAGGGATGTGGCTGCCATGGCAACTGCTGAATCATCCTCCACCGTCCATCTGCAGCGTCCTCTAATTCCATCTCCTCCTGCAGCCAGGCCCTCCGGTATCCAGGCCTGCATTAGCGTATTGATCTAACGCTTCAATTTGCTATACGAGTTGCAGCATTCTCTGCAGGTCATTCTCAGAGGACACAGAGGTGCAGCAGGGCTGAACAGCAGCCATTTGAATGGGTAACGTACCCACTACAGTGAAGCACTGCCTGAGCTATGAGCAACTCATCCAGGACTATCCATGGCTGAAGCGCTGGCTGCAGGAGGAGAAGGTGGGCGTCCTTTTTCTTGTTTCTTATTTGCTGCACATGCTCTGCCACATGACTCAGTCATGACAGAGAGGATGCACAGCAGCCAGACACTGACTACAGTACTAGTGCTTCTTATGTAATGTCCCCTTCAATGGAAACTCTGCTCTACATTCACACATCACTGTGTTTTAAAAGGATGCATCTCTGTATTTAAAAATAGTCAAATGAAAAAGTCTTGCTAAATTGTTTTTATGGGACAATAGAAGAGGATAAATTATTCTGTTACTGTTGTGTAACTATTTGTGCTGCCTAAACAAAATGATTTGTTTTGCAAGTGGATAAATATTCTTCCCTACATTCAAATACTCACATAGTATTGAGTCAAATTACTTGATCATCTATCTTTTCGGCCTATTGTAGATAATTGTTTTGGTTTAACAGGCTGCATAATTCTCGAATAGCTAAGTCTGAGCGTTGCTTCACTTTCAATTGTGAAACTCAGAAGTACAAGTACCACGGTGACATACTGCATTTTCGAGTTGCCATAAAGCGATGCATTCAAAATCCTTCTCCAATTTGTAAAGGGATTTGGCAACAGATACTATTTACCACAGTTACAGTATACAATGTGTTTTGGAGACTCCAAAGCAAATTGTATTGCAGAGCAAATGTACTTACATAGCAGAAGTAAAGTAGCCTACTACATTACTGATGCAACAGTTAGAAGGAGTTCGTTGGTGGAGTTAATTCAAACAAGCTAACGTAAGCTAGCTAGTGTAAACTACGTCTGTCAATATTGACTTCTGTTCGCTAGTTGGTGAAGACAGGTGGTAAATGTCTATTCTAGAAAAGACGAAGACATCTTTCTCAGAAGTTGGTGGACATAAAAAAAAGGAGGTACCGTTAAAACTGAACTTACGTTTGTCAGGTAACGTCAGTCAGACAGAGACTCAAATAGATGCTAATGTAGCTCCATGTCTGTGTGTGGGAAGGTAGTGCCAACACGTGAGTTGTTAGCCACAACAACTCTGCTACTGTAGCTGCCATGTCTGCCGGTTTGTTTTGTTACTCTCCTCCCTAGTGGTCAGTGTTGTAAAGTAGATTTACTCAAGTAGGCCTACTTTATTTTAGTCAAATTTTGAGGGACTTGTCCTTTACTTGAGTTTTTCCAATATTTACTACTTTGTACTTCTCCACTACAATTCAGAGGTAATTTGTGTACTGTAGGCTACATGTATGCTAGACCTGAAGTAAATTCACAAGTTAACCTGCAGCATCCAAAGTTATTAAACCATGCTGCACCTTTACCAGCTGTGATAAAACCCATTAATACATCAACAGTTTGAATCAAAACATATGATAATTATTCTGAAATGGGTAAATCTGCATAATCAGTAGGCTATTTGTATTGTACCTTAAGTATATGTTGATGCTAATGCTTTTCTTCTTTTACTTGAGTAACATTTTGATTGCACTACTTTTACTTGTAAAAGAGTATTCCTACACTCTGGTACATTTAGTACAAGATCTGGGTACTTATTCCACCTCTGCTAGTAGTCACTGATGATTAAATAACCTTAATTTAGCAGTTTTTTTATTTGTATTGTCCCTGTCTAAAAAGCCATCTAGAGCTATATAAATTTGTATTATCTTTAATCTCTATTGAGTTTTTATGTTTTAATTTGAACAAGCGCTTTTCTCTTAAAAACAACGAGGTTAAGAAAACAGAAATACCCTGATACTCTGAATATCTCATGTGGTTTGTGTGGAGTTACCCTTACCTGTCCTTTCTCTATGAGACATCCTGAGTTTGCATCTTAATGTCATGAAAAGTTTATGTTTAGGTTCTCAGGTTTCATGTGGTTTAGAGGTAGACAGTTGTTCATGTTAAAAATACCATGTCCTGGGGCGTCTCATGCCAAAAGGATGACTGCATGCCTGCTTCAATTCAGTCCTGTGTACCTCTAATTCTTATGACTGTATCTCTCGATATTTTCCCAGACTATTACAGGACATGAGTATCCAGAGTTTGTTAAAATAGTTGAAGTAGGACCACGAGATGGACTTCAAAATGAAAAGGTATACTACAGTCACAAATCTCATTTATATTTATACGTAGGCACCCTTGTTTTGTATCTTCATGCATGACCACCCGGGAATTTCCCATTTTTCATACATGAAACAATCCATAACATATGGGTTGTGTGCCATAATTGCCAGGAGCATATGTTTCACATTTTCTTTGAAATAGAATAGGAAAGATGACACAGCTTCCGGCTCAGTTTAATCAGCCTAGCATGTCACTGCTTTATCATTTCCTTATTGCACGGACTAGATGCATGGATAAAGTAAATGTATAACCACAATATGTTATTATTATTAAGCAAGATTCAGCAGGGGAATATAGATTTTATAAGCAAAAAGCGTTGCTAGATATCTTTCTTGTTGTAATTCCCATCCTGAGTGGAATCAAAGCCAAAATAAGTTTCAGTTTCATTGTTCCCCAGGAAATTGTTCCAACAGGGGTGAAAATCCAGCTGATAGACATGCTCTCGGGAACAGGCCTGCCTGTGATCGAGGCCACCAGCTTTGTCTCTTCAAAGTGGGTACCGCAGGTAATAACTCTCCTTTGTGCACAGCAAAAGAGTGCTGAGTGATTTATTAGGCTCTCTTTCTTGTCTGCATAACTCCTGCGGAAAATCTCCTCTAGTATCCTTGTTAGACCTACAAGTGCCTTTGGAAATACTATTTGAACTCTCTCGCTCCCTGTCATAAATTGTGCCAGTATTGACTTCCTAAAAAAAAGCAAATATGAACATGTCACATTTTATTTACTGAGAAATGTTAGATGAAAAAATGATTCTGTCCTTTCCGCTGACTACAAGCATGTAAAAACATTTGTGCAGGGTGATTTATTCTCAGATGATGTAAAAGGTTTATTTTTCTACATCATGTTTTCCCCCCACTTCATTTAGATGGCAGACCACTCTGATGTACTCAGAGGAATTCAGAGAGCACCTCATGTTCGGTATCCTGTTTTGACACCTAACATGCAAGGCTTCAAGGATGCTGTAAGCATTCATTTTGAATTCAGCTTGATGATGTCTGTTTTAGACCAAAGTTATTTTTACATGCTTGTCAATTTAAGTTTAATGTAGAGACTAGTGCTTTTTTTCCACATAAGTCCTGCACGTACCGAAGTGTGACTCCAGCACCGTGTTCAAAACTGTTTTACAAGTTCATTTTTCTCTCCTGTTTTAAGGTTGCAGCTGGTGCTACTGAGGTGGCGGTGTTTGGGTCAGCGTCTGAAACCTTCAGTAAAAAGAATATTAACTGCTCTATTGATGAAAGCATGCTGAGGTTTGAGGAAGTCATTAACACTGCCAAAGAGCAACAGATTCCAGTCCGCGGGTGAGTATTTGGGAAATTAATGATCCTTACAATTAATGAAAACACATTTCTAAAGTTCAACCACCTTTGGGATTGTTGTTTTTACTCCAAATGATACACTGTTGAAAAAACTGCAGTTACTATATGAAGGAGAAAACACACAATTCAGTAATGATAGATTGAAATAAAGCGTCCAGATGTTCCCAAGGTTATATTTATGCATTAGTAAACCGCTCGTCCAGATGGACATTTAAGCAAACCAAACATTGAAAGTTACTGCAAATATTAAAATTTTTATGCATGTTGGATTAAATAAACCTCTCTGTTTAAATAGGATGAACACATCAGAAAAACAGTGAATTTGTTTCCAAGTGCTAAACAAATGTTTGATAGTTAAAATAAATGTTATCCAATCAAGATCCTTATCACACTAAAATCTAATCACGGATCTGGTAACCAAATCTCATATTAATCTTTTTGTCCGCCTTTGAGATATCTCAAGATGAAAAGCCAAAATAAGATTAGAAACATCAGAATTATCAGCAATCTTTGTATCCTCATTTAAATAGACGAGAGTCCATCTCACGACAGACAACTGTTAAACAGTGTTGTCTTCCTGAAAGTGCCAAACATAAAATCCTGTTGTTGAATTGCTTCTACTAAAGCAACGGTTGTTTCAAATGTTATAGTTCATCAAATGCAAATCACAAATGTTTTGTCTTTCAGATATGTGTCTTGTGCCCTTGGATGCCCCCATGAGGGACACATTGAACCTTCCAAAGTCTCTGAAGTAAGAAAACCTTTCGAAAATCCTAATATTCATATTAACTGTTACATTCAGTGGAGAAAATATTAATGGAGGTCATTCTGAATTGTTATCACCTCACATGACATTGCATATTAACAAACATATACAGGTTTTCAAAACAAATGTATTCATTAGAAGATTACACGATTTATGGTTAGTTATTTACTCTATGATTCTGTGTTAATGAGAGAATCTCACACGTTTTTGAAACAATTTTTTAGGTGGCCAAGAGGTTATATGCGATGGGCTGCTATGAGATTTCCTTGGGGGATACCATCGGTGTTGGTACTCCAGGCTCCATGTTGAAGATGCTGCAGAGTGTGATTGAGGAGGTGCCCGCCCACGCTCTCGCAGTTCACTGCCATGACACTTATGGGCAAGCACTGCCCAACATCCTTACTGCACTTCAAGTAAGAACTCATAATGTACTGTGGGAATGGTAATCGATAATTATTGTATTAGCAGAAGTAGTGCTAGAAAAGGCTTTTAATAATTGAGTTAAGACTGACAAACGAGGACTCCGTTTTATTGTTTTGACAATAACAATAAGACATGAGCCAAACTATGTGTCAATACATTTTACTGCATTTTGTAAAGCCGCATCAACTCGTTCAATTGTGACTCCCTGTAGTTTCACAGTTTAAGGAGTTTTATTACCAACAGGATGATTGTAAAATCTAAGATGAACACATCCAAAAATATCCATTTTAAATGTATTTAAAACTTCAAGGTGTACAACCCCTGAGCGATCTCTTTTACAAGACGACCCTTAGACAAAAGAAGGCATAAACATTAACAATAGAATCCAAAAAAAGAAAATCAAAAGGAAAAGATAATTAAATACAATAACAAACACACTCTCAGACACACATAAAACAAGATTTCAACCCCAGTCCCAAATTCACAACAAAATATTCATCTGCCAAAGACAAATAGCAGTAAAGGTTTGAAAGGTGCTGCTTTCTCTGGCAAGTCTCTGCTGCCCTGCTCTGGGTACAAATTGCTCAAGGCACCTGGCAAGTTCTTTATAAATCAAGTGGAACAGTTCCAAGATTTTTCTCAACGTTGGGTTGTGAAACCTGTGAATTCTGAGAAACGTAGAGGACGGAGCTAGAAATTCCCAAAACCTGTATCTTTGAAAATAAGAGTGAAGGAGAGACTTGTAATCTCTGCAAATCTCGGAAAGTAATGTTTTACAATGCTCTGGTCTTTCTCAATTAAAGATAGACATGAGCTCTCATAATAATTATTTTATTAAAATAAATACACATTCTGATCTGTGTGTGAGGGGTGTTAAAAGTGCCAGTAATTGTTCTAGCAGAGGTCTGAAGAGGAACTAGAAATACTGACATGGTTAGAAGAGAGGCAGGGCTCTGTACTTTACAAGACATTAATATATCATCCTTTTGATCCGCACATCCTCTCATGTTGAGTTGTTTGATAGCTTGATATTCTTCAGCGGCTTGGCACCTTCTCCCTCGCATGCACATCTTCCTCCTTATGATGGATATGAACAATCTTGTGGAGAACCGCAGGCCGATTATGGATTAAGGCCGACCTTTTCATAAATCAGTGTTCTTGCTCATGATGACATGAAGAGGAGCAACCAGATGTGGAAGCACAGTTGAGGTGGTGATTCTTGTTCCAAGATATCTTTCAACTTCCTTAAGTAACTGCCAACATTGCCGAGATCACAACGGTTTTTCTGATGCTGTAAATCAGTATTCCTGCTTCGGTAATCATATGTTAAGCTGCTCCCAATCCATCTTGTGGCAGATGTTACAGTACATTCAAATACATCTTTTCTTGAGTTTTACCATTTTCAAGAGCAAAGGACAAGTAGTGTTTATTTTCCTACCGGAATCTGGAAAAACGAAGTTATATTGCATCAAAAAGTTAAATAAGGCTGATGGCCATATATTTTGGCCACTTAAGGTTGTTTGAAATGATATTAGAGATTGAACAACCTACGCATACAAATGTTTATCCAACATACATCTCTTAAAACACTGTTTCTCCTCTTAAACACATGTGTACTTTTTTTAGTATGAAGTGTACCACAATGTTAACCTGCTCTGAGCTTTAATGACAATGTGTCTGTTTACAACATTATGAATGTATCCTCTGTATTGGGGAGTATTGAGAACGCACAAAACAAATGTATAGGTTACAAAGGGACACACAGAAATGCAGGAACCATCAGTCAACAAGGAAGAGGGGCATTAAGAAACATGATCTTAGCTTCCCCACAAAGCAAGATGATTCACAAACTGCCCACTGAGAAAAAACTCCCAGAATCTTAATGAACATAAGATATTTCCAATGGGCCTTTCCAGCACAGTGCACATGTATTGTAGTGAAGAAAACAACAATTCATGGACGCCCACAGTAATAAAGTCGGTTTCTACACATCTCACAAAAATGTAATTAGGTTGTACATTTCCCGTGGAAGAGCTCTCGTCGGGTTGTTTTTACCGCTTTGCTCGTAGCGAGTGTAAAGCTGACATAAATGCAGACATAAAACAGACGCAACGCAGATATCAGTTCTCTGGAGCACATTGTCATCACAGAGGAGGAAGCTCATCGGGGGCTGGGTGGGTCAACAGATGTGAGGAGGTCAGCACAAAGGCTCACCTATTCAGTGTCTATTGGACAAAGCAACTGAGAGCTAGGTGGATAGAAGGGCCCGGGGGGGCTCCTAACTCATCTGTCGCTTGGCTGTTGAACTCCCTGACAATGCTGCGCTTAAAGGCCAGTGGAAAATGATCCTTTCATTTGCTCGCTGCAGTTGGCGGCCTCTAAAAAACGTTGCTAGGGCTCGATAATAACTGGTGTGCAGTAGATAATGTTGAAGTTTGTTTATTAGGGTTAAACCATTTGAGAATTAGCATCTAGATTTCAAAAGGGTCCTGTTATGCTGTGTGACTTTCAGTTTGAGGTACATTTCTGCATAATTTCTGTGGTTATGTTATTAATTAACAATGTCACAACAAAGACAACGTTTTAAGACCTTGAAACATTTAATTAACAAGAGTTACACTCCCACTAAGACAAAGCACCTAAATGCCCATTCTAATACATATTAGAATCAGTTATCAAACATTTACTCACATTTATTTTGTGGAATTAATTTAAAGTATGCTAGTTAATAGTACAGCCTTTTGGTCTAGTAAATACTATCCCCTGTATTATCAAATATTATGGTTCCAGTGAATCATATAAACACAGAGGAAACTGAGATAGGGCAGACCTCCATCCATTCCCTTTTTGCAATGGTAATGAAAGTAAAAAAATAACGTATCTATCCCCTCATTATGTGAACCTGCTATGTTGCCATGCGGGTCCTTCTAGCTGATTCTACACCCTTTCAACACGTTTCATTACAATTGGAAAAGAGCTTTTCCTGCTGACAAACAGACAAACAAACAAACCGAGGCCAAATCAAATCGTCCCTCGTGGAGGTAGTAAATATCTACTTTTTGTAACATTATTTATGTAGTTCACTGTATTATAACTAAATATGAGATGCACACCCACTATTTAAAACACGGAGTTGTCAGATGTTAAAGGTATTTACTTCATGAAAACTTTAAAAAATAAAAGATTGACAGTCAGGACACAAAACAGCATTAAAGCCTTAACAGTCCTTAAAAGAAAAAAAGATTTGATTTATTTTTAAGTGAATGCTTTTCTCTTTATTATTTACGTTTGTATTCCTCTGTAACCCTGTAACATATTGCTCAAGAAAATATAAAGAATCTTCTTGTGTTAAATAGCAAATATATACAAAAGTTAGCCTTGATTTTGGATTGCTGGGTGAAAAGCACAGCGGTACAGTTCAATTCCTCGGTGGATCATATTCAGAATGATTCATCACAGCTGCCCTGTGGCCACAGAGAATAATAGCAGCCGGGGATATTTTGCCTACCATTTACTCACCCATAAACAAGATGGAAATGAAAGATTTTATCATAGCTTTTCATTACTGTGTGCCAGAAGTCCACACCACCAACTGGGATAGAAATGAATTCCCCCAGCGCTGTCAGCCCTGAGTCACCTCTTTTGTTCTTGATAAAGACATTCCTCAGTCTTTGTACCTTTTCTCTTTTTTTCCCAGGAGGTCTGGGGGGGCTTTGTTACAAACCTACTCCTGGCAGGTCACACAATGACAACGTATGTACTTATATTTCACAGGTTTGGCAAGGAAGATTATTTATTCTCATCCACAATTTTTGGTGTATTGTGGACAGCTGCAGCTGGGGAATACAGTAGAACCTGTTTGCGCTCTCAATTGAGTCCTCAATAACACGCTAACAATAACATTCAGCGCTTTCCTTTAAAGCACTGTTCAACCTTGATGGACTGTACTATGCAAATAACTTAGTTTTACTAATAATTGACCGTCTAACTTTTCCATATTATAATTGCCATGATCTTCATCACTGAGACCTAATAATTAAAAATTAAAAACTTGAAGGAAACTTAAAAAGGTTGATGAAACTGAATGTTTATATATATAGTATATGTTTTAACCTGTTTCTGACCACACAGCTTTAACCTAACATAAAGCCATACAATGTAATTACTTACAAAAAAGACAGATCTTGCATTGGGATCATAATATTGTTTTGAAATCATAATATGTATGAGATTGTGGTTTTTGGTTGGTCATCCATTAAGAAGTTGATCTTTTATGGTGAATGATGTGATTATATGGTTCCAAATATTTATGCCCTAATAAATACAGAAGTAAAAGTTTCATTTATTTATCCTTAATAGGTTTGTTTTGTCTATCTCCTAGCTGCCTTCTGGTATTCGGGGCAATCCTGTGTATGCGTTCCTGGAAAGAGGTGATATATGTGTCAGCAGTCGATCTCTGACAGTTTCTTTCAGCTTCCCAGTTTATGTAGCAGTGGGTAAAGCATCACTGCTCCATATCCTTCAGTGAATGCACACTCTCTGTTTCTCTCTCTCTGACGCAGTTATAAAACCAAAATGGGAGCATGTCCATCTTCAGCCTCGTCCACTCGGAGTGTAGAATGTCAACAAGCTTATCCCAAATCATGCAAGTTTAAAAAATGCACTGTGTCTTTACCAAGGAATGTATTGTTTTCATATCGCCACAGCTTACTCAATATGGCTTTTTTAACACTGAGTGCACATCTGGTTTCTGGGCAGTGTGAAACTAACTGAGCATTGGCAAGTTGGAGCTGCTGACCACCAAATCCTGCACAATTAGTGTCCTGAGGTACAGGGGCACGCTGATGAAGGGTCCGTTTTGTTCCTCTCGGAAACTGAATGCCGAGGACCCCTGGCCTTACACGGTTAGCAGCTGAAAGCGAGAGGATTGGCATGTTAGATTACAACTCTGTGTTTATGCTTTAAAAAAAATCTGCCTAGTACAATATCCTGCTCTGGCTTTATCCAAGGTCTGGAAATCTCGTGCACTCCACACACCAGAGTCGATCTCCTCCTCCTCCTCCTCCTCCTCCTCCTCCTCCTTCCACCCCCACCTTCTCCTCTCCCCTTGCCAACACAAACAGCAATTACGGCTGGCTCAGACGGCCCCTGAAAGAAATAGGTTCTTGTCTGGAGGAAAAGCAACCAATTAGCAACATTGTTCGGAAAAAGGCAATAGAGATGCTTTTAATTTAGCTTGCTTGGTTCTGCTCCATGGGGAGAAAGTCCTTCATGACCCGATGCCACTGTGAGGATCAGCGTGTTAATTTTGTCTCACTGTGGGATCCTCTGACATCTGGCTCTGCCACGGAAGCTGGAAAACATCTTTAATATTCTCATGACGATCCCAGGGACATGTGGAAAACATCACAAGACCTTAGGCTGTAATGACTTTGATTCTGAAGGTCTGGCTTCATACGTTTACGGTGTGAAAATAAAATGTACACTTGTAGGTTTTTTACACTTTGAACTGCAGTTTTATCGCTTTGCGTAATATGTGAATTCAGGGAACTAGTAAAATACAACTTTATAAACGTACTCATCTTGAGGCATTAACATCAAAACAAAAGCAGTTACATTTTCATTCCTAAGCCGTCACACACATCTTTTTCTTATGGAGCACACTTGGTATTTGTTGGCAGCGAGTAAAAAAGAACAAAATAAAAGTTTCCCATGAAATATAACAATAACTTTGATTGTAAGCAGCCTATGAGACAAACATGCAAACAGCCTTAAAATAAATCTTTTGCAGGCGCCACCACCACAGGACAGGAACACATGTTACTGAAGTCATCAGCGAAATTAATTATGACATTAGAGATTATTTGAGGCAACTGCACATTTGTCGAGAAACGCTACAATTCTTGTATTGCTGGCACGCTGTAAGTGGATACCGTCCAGCCGAGGGGAGAAACAAAGTATTCTAAATGTGGCAAGAAAGTGAATCCCCATGGTTAAGGGCAGAGTATTGCTATAAAAACATGAGTAACAAGGAGAATCAGGAACATATTCTGTTCTGCATTTATATCGCGTATGAACGTAATTATGCGGTGCTGGTGGTTGGAGCTGACAAAGAGGATGACTAAGCCACATTCTGTGCCCACTCATCCTCGGGACATAAGCCCGCAGTTCTCCTAAACAGCTGTAAAACACGACCGCAGTCCTGGCAGCGGGCAGAACAATCCACCAGAACAAGGATCTTTGTTCCTGGATTCTACCTGAGGTGGAGTGTGTGGAGGTCTGTCTGAATGTCTCTGTTGTGTGTCCTCTGCAGATGGGGGTCTGTGTGGTGGACTCTGCAGTAGCTGGCCTGGGAGGTTGCCCATATGCTCAAGGTTCATCTGGCAACGTTTCAACAGAGGATGTTCTCTACATGCTCCATGGCATTGGCATTGAAACTGTGAGTATTTCTCCACGTTGCACTTTGTATTTAATTTACCCATAATCCCAACAGATCAACCAAACTCAACAATCTTTCAGAGTTTGTTTACATTACCAGAAGGCTCTGCAAACATAGTGCTCTGTAAATGTTTATTTTATAATATCAGTGGTTTTACACAACTTGCACAAGCCTACAGTGTTGCATGCCCCATCTCAGGAACAATTTATTTAACAATCCCTACCCCTGCTGGCCAGATATTTTCACTACACTTTTTCTATCACCTGTTGCACACGTTCTTCTTAAAGTCATGAGGAGCCTGTGTTCACATGTTTTGTTCATCTTAAGACAAAATCACAGTGTAGACGCTGATACTGCAACATGTTTTCTTTGCAGGGTGTGAATCTTGCCAAAGTGATAGAAGCCGGTGACTTCATCTGCAATGCTTTACGTCGCAAGACAAACTCCAAGGTTGCCCAGGCAACAGGCAGAACACTGTGAAGGGAATATATTTAAATATTAACTTTTTATTTAACCTTTTAAGTGCTTCCCCTGTCGTTGCTGCATTCAGACATGTCGCCTATGCTTCTGTTAAAGAAGATTTTATTTCATTTATCTCATTCAACTAATATAAACTGGCCTTTTTAAAAGCCACATTTATTCACTTCTGTTTTCAAACTTTCTCATACTTATGGAGAAGACAAGTGCACTGATTAAATATCAGTCACTTTTATTACTTTGCGGTGCTCAGTGGCCTTATAATAATTTTTTACAGAATAAGTATTTTATTAGTTTTTCCAACCCACTGAACTTTATCAAAAACCACCACATAGGTGTTGTGTTTTAATAAACAGAGAAGATAAACAACATGAAGAAAAGGCTCTCTCCTGCCTTTTAATAAACATGAATAGCTTTAATGCACTTTACTCCTCCGAAGACCCTTTCAGCTCTCATACTAGGTCAGGTCCTCTGAGAATAGCAACTTAAAAACAAGACTTCTCTCAAACTAAAAAGTTAAATAACACCTTGTCTAAATAGTTTTTGCCCTCAGGTTTGCCTAAAAGCATTAAGAAAGTGCCCCTTGATCATGTATGTTCCATTAAAAAAACGTTTACCATTACATAAGCTACCGTCTGGGAGTATAGTCTGTGTAAGTGTCAAATGTGTTTCTTCCGTCTATTTAAATCCTATATGTGCTATATGTTAAACCTAATAAAATAGAAAATTATACTATTTTCTAATTAAATGTTACATGTTGCAAGACAAGGTGGCAAGTATACATTGCTTTTATATATATATATATATATATATTGTGTTTGAGAAAAAAATATCATTATCAGTTTTTTGTCTTTTCATGTAACCATATGCTGGAGGATTAAGATGATCCAAATAAAGAAAACAGAAAAAAGTAGGAGAAAATACTTTGTGGGTGTCTTTGTCATCAGAACTTAGTGAACCCCTGGTTTTCTATCTAGCTTGTCATTAATAGCAGGCTCTTTGTCCCACTAGGGAATTACTTTAATTGAAATGCCAGTATGAACGCTGGCAGGACTCTGCGATGCAAAGTGAGACTATAATCAAATGTAACTCTAATGAACAGATGTGGGAGAGTACTAAGAGAACTTGCATTAATATATTCCAATTTGGTAATTAGCCCTGATAGTCGTCCAGCTTCATTGTCTGTGCAAACAATTATTTAATGAAGTGTAGTCACTCTCAGATCTGTTTTGGGAAAAAAGCACTTTGTGAACAAGGGGAAACCAAGTTGAAACCAAGCTCGCTAGAAAAGAAAACTTTGGAAGTCTCCAAGTTTTGCAGTCTGAATAATTTGAAAGACAAAATAGAGTTGTTTTGACATTGCAGTACAAATCTGACATCTGACAATAAGAAACATTATTCCTTCCAGTTGCTCGTTGTGTACTGAAACTGTGATTCAATGTGGTGTCATTAAATAAAAGTTAGTTTGCTTTCTACAAGTCTATACACTTTAATCTGGGTATTTTTTCGATCTTTTCTATAAAACAGGACTTTTTTGCAACCGACTGTGTGAGAATCAAATCAAGCTAAAATCTGCAGCTCTTCTTATGACAACTTGAGACTGACTACTAAGTGAGCAAATCCCCACAGACAACCATGGTTAAAAAACAAGAATCCGTCCCCTTTTCCATTTGAAATTATCCTGGAGTTGGGCACTGTTGTCATTGCAAAGATGTCGTCGACGGCATAAGCCACCCACATTGAGCTTCACAATGGCCTTTCAGAAACCATGATTGTCGTCTCTGAGAATATGTCCATATTTTATACAATCTATTTTTGCCACCAGAAAAGTCAGACCCTGCTTGCTAGTAGACATAATGCAGGTTAAAGCACTTTCAGGAGGTTCGTGCTTTGGTCATCTCCTATATTTATATCCATATCTTCATGGTTGATTCAGTGTCCAGCGTAGCAGTCTAACTGCAGGAATTTTCTGGCTTCCTACCAGCGGGGGTCTTTCTGTGTGCAGCATGTGTTTGCATGTGGTTTTGTGTTTACTTTCAGTCTTGATCCCTCATATATTCGCATGGGTTTCTTTCCTCCCGCAGTCCAGACATGTTGGTCAGGTGAATTTAAACAGCCCATAGCTGTGAAGCCTGTCCAGCTTCACTTCTCTTCTCCTAAATATTGTAAGTAGGCCGTTAGCATAAAAACAATACCACAATCATATTTCTTAACATAATTCATACTGAGTGAAGCTGTTTATTATAAATTACACCCGAGCCTTTAATTCTGTCTGATTTTTTATTTATTAGACTCATCCTCAACAAATTAATTTGTGAAAACATGAATTGGCAAGATTTAAGAGGTCACAAGAAAGTACAATTCTTTAGAAAAAGAAAGACAGTATGGGTACAGATGACTGCTAAATGATAAGCTGAAGGCCAGATTTACCTGTGTTTCTCTGGAGCCCAATAATTACAGTAAACTAGCGGACCATATCATTGTCTCCAGGAGCCTGCATGGCTGAGAAGTTTCTCCAGCAGAAGGAAAATAAACCCGAGGTTATATTATTCGAACCAAAGCCATTAACCTTTCTTCCTACTCCTCTTCTAATATCTTTTGTCAAGTCAAATGCAGATAAATCAAGTTTGAAGCTCAAGTTTGATTAAAGAAAAAACAACAAATCAGAGAGTTGAATCAGTTTAGTCAGGCTGTTCTGCAATGTTTCCTGTCTCTTAACAAGGCTATGTATTTGTACTGGAAAAAAACAGGTCTTCATATAAAACGTGAGACCTTCCGGTGTCAAGAGTGAAGTTTATTATCAAATAAAGTTGAAGACTAAAGATCACTATTTATAATCATCACAAAAAGACAACTGGTGACAGCAATTTAAAATGTTCCAGGTGAGTTTTAACTTTCGAAGATGGAAAGACCAGGTCAGTGTGAAACAGAGTAAATTACAAGAAGACTGATCATATACAGCAGAAAGGAAACGATTGTCCTTTTAATCAAAATCAAATTTTTTAAATATATGAATCCGTCTTAAAGGTGACCTATCATGCAAAATGCACTTTTGTACGTCTTTTATACATGAATATGTGTCCCCGGTGTTCCAGGGAACTCACCAAGTGTCAGAAAACACAACCCTCTCTCTTTTCCTCCATACCCAAATCTCTTAAAAAGGGTCTGCAACGGATCTGATACAGACTGATCCAGATTTGAACACTTCTCTGACATCACAGAAGTGGCGCTACGGCTATTGGGCCAACTCCACCAATCAGGAGGAGACAGCCACGGACATTGTCGTTCTGAAGCGCTGGAGACGCTGTAGTACATATGCCAGGCCTGTGGATGGTGCTGTTCTCACAGAATCAGCCCATGCAAAGACAGTGTTAAATTGAGCGAAATGAGGAATGGCTAAAATGCATGATCTGTTTGGTATTTTGAAAAATAAAAAGTATAAATATGCCTTATATAGGTATGGTCCTACACTATATTATTCAAATATAGCATGATAGGTCCACTTTAAAAATCTTTGATACACAAGTTAACATGTCACATTAAAATGTAAGTATAACAAAGTATATGTCGATATTTTTTTATATATTCTTATCATTATTGTGAAAAAATCAGGCAACTTCTAAAACCGTTTCAATCTAAAAAGGAACAAAATGTTGATCCATGATTATTGATGACAAACATTTTATGGATGGATAAACACCATCAGGGATTAACAGCGCAGTTACTTTTCTCTGGATGGTGAAACTTAGTGTTGTCTCTTCTTCTGAGCATCCTATAAGAAAAAGGAAGTAGAAAGGCTTTATTTTTAGATATCAGAGAGACTCGATGTATTTTACTGTTGATTTTCTTACCATATTTTACTGACAACAGCCAGAGGCACTAACACAACAACTCCAACAAGTACCGCAGTTGCAAAAGCAAATAGCAGATAACCTGAAAGACAAAATATTCATTATAAAATTTCAATATATTAAAAAAAGAATCGTATCCATAATTTAATCAGCTATAATACTCATTCATTTATTATAATAACTATAAAACGATATTCTACTTTGTAACGGTGAGCAGGTACTAATATCCCAGATTAGGTTGTACACACTAAATTGATTTGGTAACACTGTATCTGATACAAAAACAAAAATTCGCCATCAAATATGATACAGTATCATATTTTATGGAGACATTTTTTCTGGTTTTCCCTCCAAAGTCCTCGACTTGCTCTGCCTCGTTTTTCTCTGTTTTAGAACGTTTCCTGATGGACAGAAAGCTTTTCCTGCTAAAGTAAGGCTAACTGTTCTAAAAGTAGCTGCCGATAGCTAGTTAGCTTTTAGCTCAGTTAGTCATGCTGCCAGGACTTACCAAACCTAAGTGTATTGTTGAAGATATTCACAACAGTGGTGTAAACTCATTTTCATTGTTTAAACTGCTTTAAAGTGCTTAAATGTACCATTTGACCGTGTGTGAGCTTGCTCAGATTCATCGACTTCAGGATATTTAGTTGGACCATCACTGCTCTTCCAAGATGTCACTGGAATACACAAACTTTTTTAAATGTTTCCTTTGAAACACATTTTCATTATAAAATGTGTTTCTTTTGTAAATCTAAAACCTACTCACTGAAGTGTGATCTGTTGTGAAGCAAGTCATGAATGATGTTGCACGTCAGTAGATCATCGTTGTGCATTCGTTTGCATTGACAAGGATAATGAAGAGCTGTGCCCAAAGTATCCAGGAAGGCCTTTTTACATTCAGAATCTGCACCAAGGATGAGAGCTGGGTCCATCTGGCTGATACATTCATCATTTTGGAGGTCTCTGTCGCTGCACTGTGCTTCTTCAGGACTCCAGCATTTGACTCGGAATCTATTCAACAGATGTCTGCTAATCCAAAAGAAAATATGTTTGAGATGCAGTATTCTTTGCTTAAGGGGTGTTTAGAGAAGACAGCTTTTTTTAATCTTTTAATCATCTTAGCTTTCCACTGATCTGAACTCCCAACTTGTACAGTTTCACATAACTTTTTCTTTTAAAGAACAAACTGTAAAATGACTTCACATAATATTAACATTATTATAACATTTGAATATAAACGTAATATTTCACAATCTTTGAAGTAAGGAAGACTACCACACTCAAATGGCTCACATTGATGTGTTCAAAATTCACTCATCTATTTTCTTCTGTAGTATTTTTGCAGTTCAAGACATACTGAAAGGAGGGAAAGAATAGCGACATGCCTGCAGCTTCTGTCCTCAACACACAGGTTAACGGTATCCTGGCAGATCCATATCTGGTCTCCACATGTGCCGCTTTGCAGAGCAGTTTTTATATCCAGACAGTTTTGATCCGAATCCTTACATTCGCACATGACAATTATTTCTGCAACTTTCTGTGGCATGCTGCTGTAGAACTTTTGAGACGCTTTCTCACAGCGGTCATGGTCACATTGTGGTGCCATGCATGCCTGAATCACAGGGATAAGGTACTTGTTGCAAACTGCATCATTGACGCACCCTTTCATTTGGTCCAAACAGGATTCAGCACCGTTTTGTACTGCAACAAAAATAATGTTAAATGTTTTTAGACTATAGAAACATCACTTGTATATTCATGAATTCAGTGTACATAATTGTATATTTTTTAACGTAAGGTTGAAGGCTATACTACCCTATTTTCCCATGTTTGTGTGTCTAATTGACTAAAAGGAGAGTCGTTTTTTTTTATTCGGCCCAGTATGAGGCCTCAACAGGCTACACTCTAAAAACCAATTCAGGCGACCTTTCACCTCCACTTAATTAAATGCATGGTTGCAAGATAAAAATGTGAGTTAATTGATTCAGATAAACATTTTAAGTTGCAAACATTAATTTATAAGTTGTGTTGACGTAATAATGTTGGTTATTATATCAACTTAATATTGTGTGTAATTTGAACTCTGATTTCTGCGTTAATTGACTTAAAACTCAATTCAAGTTGTAGTAAGTAATGCAATTGGCTTGATAACTTCATTGTTCTACACCTTGAGTTAAGAATTTCAAGTCCACTCCCACTTAACATGCCTGGACAAGTACCGACAGTTAAGACAAATAGAAATATACAAAGGACATTTTAAGGTGAGTGTCATCTTTTGTCATTCAAATACAGTAGATAGCCTTGTAGTTGCACTATATAGGCAAATTGCTGTTTGACCAAAATTAGCAGCCTTTGAACTGTGAATAGTTCTGTGAGAGGGTACAAAGTAGGCCACTGTGAGAGTAAACATACTTTGGTTACTATTGTGATATCGCTTTTTATTAAAAATGAATCTCGGTGAAGCAGATCAAGGACATGCTTCTTGAGGTAGGATCGTTATTTACAGTTGTCATTGAAATGCAAGTTGTTGGCAGTCACCCATTCAGAATATATTCATTTAGGTAATTTCTCTTTTTTTCCTTTTTCAAAAATAGCACAATACAATTGAAGTACGCAGAGAACTACAGCCATCCGCTGCCTTGTTGTGTACCTTGGAGAAAAGGAAGAGGAACTTTTCAAGGAGTTTAGCGACTTAATTAAAAGTCCATGGGNAGATTTAAATGAAGCTCAGCGCAAGTTCTTTCAGGAAGACTATACATTCACTCCGCAGCTGCATATAATCAGCTCATCACAGGCGTTCTCTTTAACCTATTACATTTCACCTCATTCTCCAGCAGCCAATCAACGTGCTGCAGCCAAACTATAAAATGGTTCTCCTCTCTCCTGCAGTCAGCTGTGATTTCAGGTGTTCATGCACCTTCATATCATATGGCATGTGTCAATAAATGTTCAAACTAAAGGAATTCTCTCCTGATTGAAACATCATGTGTTGAAATAAATAACTGCAGTTCAAAATAAAAAGTGAATTGCCTAATATTTTTGTTGTGGAATCAATTAATTTCTTTCTTTAAAGGCAAAAACATGAAAAAGCTAAGAAAAAAAACTATTGAATACAATATATTTGGAGCAACTTAATTTATAAATGGTTTTCAACTTAAAAACGTGTGTTCACAATGATGTTAATTAGGTACATACAACTTAAAATTCCTTTTAAATCATGTGGTAAAACTAGTCGGAACAACTTAATCTTTTGAGTAATCAACTTCAAAACTTGCGTTTATGCTAACAATTATTAAGTAAGTGGTAATTAAAAACTCCTCTGATTGTAGAGGAAAAGCCTTCTCCCCTAACTCAAATAACTTTGTTGCTTTAAGAGAATTTCATTAGAAGTTGTCTTAACTCAATAAACATCGATGCAAACTGTTGCGTTGATTTTCTTTGTTGAGCCAAGGCATTTGTTTTTAGAGTGTATAAATGAGTTGTTTTTTGCCACTCACCCTACAAAGATAATAACCATTTTTGTTTTCCTCTGCTAAATCTGGTCTGCTTTTGTCTTATTCAATTGTTGCCAGAAGAAAATGGTTAACAGTGGGTCAAATCTGGAGAGAGAAGGAGTGCCAGCGCTTTGGTGTTGTCAAGATGATTTTCAGTGTCATGGCTTCATTTAAAAAATGTGGATGCGATGCAAGTTTTCAGAACAATACTTTTCCTCCAGGGAGACTTGGTTACACATTAACAAACAGTAGGGTCCTTTTCAATTTGCTTTCAGCCACAATAATAATTTGAATCTGTCAGTCGCATAAAACAAGCACTTAAAGTGGAAGAAATTGATGGTGGAAATTGCACAATAGTATTTAATTGCAGCTATGTTTACATATTTACCATATCTTATGAAACTGCTTGACTGCCAGTCCACCCCTGCTCTCCTCTTCTGTGCTGCTGTGAGGAGAATTGGAAACATGATTCCTACGAATACCTATTAAAGCGAGCCTTTTTTTATTCAGTAGCACAGAAGTGTTTAATCACACAGTACATCAGAACGCCTTTGGTAAACAGAAATGCAATTTCACCTATAAATGCTTATCTCAGAGACTACTGAGAATACTGCACCTGTCTTTTGGTTGCATTGTGTGGCCAGTGCTTGTATAGAGCCACAAAGCTCCTCCTCCCAGGCACACACACACCCGTGCAGAGAGGGAAATTGGTCCAGCACAGTCTGGATGGTCAAGTTACAGACCTCTGAGCCTTTTATTTGGCAGCCTTCATCTAGAATAACACAAACACAAGGGGGAGGTAGAAAAAATGGATTTTTTTATAACCAGACGAGGTCTTGTTTGTGCAACAGGTGTTTCCTGCTGTATCAGCCTGCTGCTCTGATTGTCTCCCCTGAGATGTCAGACAACATAAAACGCACTATAAGTCAAAACAAACATAGATTTTAAAGGCTGTGACAGGCTATTTATTATTATGGATTTTTAGTTATACAAACTTTGCTCCAGGCTATTGCCTTCGTTATTACATTTAAGCCATACTCCAAGAAGTGCAATTCAATTAAGTGGCCTCATGTCCCACGCTTCCTGAGGAAATGGAATCAACACTTTAATAATGCCACAAGAAAAACATCTAATAAAACTGTGTCCCAAACGCCCTGGAGCAGGAATGGTAAATTGGAAATGTGTCATTTTTACCCTCACAGATGTTGCCGTAAAATGCTTCTTGACTCCACTTGCATAGATTTGACATGCAGGTGTCCACATCAGCAAAACTGTTGGAAGGTGGAGGTGAAATGCTGCTGCTCGATATCTGATGAATCATTATCCCTGAAATACATTACAATAATTTACCCTGAAAACTCTTTTTTTGTGATTCAAATGTGATGTTATTGCATCATCTCCAAACACCCACCTGGCATATACAGTATATCTGTCTTGAGCTGTTATCTTAAAGGAAAGTTCTATATAATACTTATACAAGTGTATATCATCACTAACAAACACTCTTGACTCTACATATATTATAAGCTAAGACATGTAACTGTATTTAATAGCATTACTTTTAATTAGATTTTCTGTTAACGTGAAGATGAATTCGATAAGCTAGGGGTTGAAGTTTGAAAAAAATATCAAACTGAAAGTTGACTTACCAAGTATGAACGCAGCTTCCAGGCGTGTCAGTTGCATGATAGCAGTTGTAGAGCTGTCACTGTCCCTCCAGCGGCTGATCTGAGCCTCTGGTCGGCTGGGATGGGAAACACCCCCCACAGTCAACAGGATGTAACACATTTACTGGAGGCTGCACCGTGCGCCATGCAATGAAATGACACATGCTCACAAGAACAGAACAGACACTCAATGGATGTCACTGTGTCTCTTTCAAAGTAGGATTTAACATTCAGATGTGGTTGTTGATGAGTTTTGGTCAATAATGTTTCAATCATACTTCTTTCACCTGCAAAAAGTATGATTGAATCTTAAGTATACAATTAAGTTGTCGCGAGGATCGCCTTGCATGAAAGCCTGTATAGTGGTGATTTGAAAATCCCCAAATAAAGAGTGTGCCATTAGTTACACCAAACAAAACTTTATGAATGCTAATGTTTCTCTAGGTCTGCTGGATGTGTACATACATGACAGATTGGTAATACATTATGATAACAACTTAAAGGGTAACTATATATATATATGTGTGTGTGTGTGTGTGTGTGTGTGTGTGTGTGTGTGTGTGTGTGTGTGTGTGTGTGTGTGTGTGTGTGTGTGTGTTGACAGCTTTCTTTTGCTGCCTCTTAAGTGGTAAAGATATAACAGCGAATTGCATACAGTAATTACAGCACATTATTTTTTTGTTCAGTGTATTTATTCAAATCCGCCTGCATACTATTTTTTGCAACTTAGCAACTGAAGTGCACAACCTTGATATACTGTAAGACTTGCTAATGTATGTTTGAATGCCAGTAAATACCCCCACCAAGTAGGGCCTTTTTTCCAGTTTTAACAGAATAACAAGAACAATTGCAGGCCTGATTTTCATGTTGGTAGGGTGGAGAATGTGCCAATAAAGCAAATCTAAATCAAGGGTTGGGTACATGGACTATTTTTCACCTTCACAGTCTTTGTGGCTGTTTGCACATTCTGGATGCTCTTCTCGTTATGAAAGTCTTAATTTTCATGATATATACTTTCCTGAATCTAATTTTCTCTATTATGGAGCAACATTACTCTATTACTATCTAGCCTCTGGTGTACCGTTGCAATTCAATAAAAATGCTGTTGCATGTGTATTTCTGTTTGTTGTTCTAAGTGTCTTTTTAAGAAATTTGACCCGAAGATAATCAGAATCTGGAATACACTATTAATTCCAGGGGGAAATTGGTTAGAGACAACAGAAAATAAACATTGTAGTACAATATAGACTTTATTGATAAAAGATGTGTAGGGATAAAGACACGGTGAGGAATAAACAACTTATTAATACACTTTATAAGCTCACTCAGACAGAAACATCAAGTCAAGATACTAGAAATGTCTCAAAAGGTCAAGCTGAGGACACATGATGAGATTCACAATAGAAAGTCAATAATACACAAATAAATAAGTAAATAAATACATATACCTGAATACATTCATTGAACGTCACAAAAACTAATTGTAAACATCCTTTCAATGTCTTAAATTCAGTTTAGTCCATCTAGCCCAAAACCCCACACCACCAGAACACTGCCCATTGTTCACAATGCCCTAAAAATGCATTACGTTGATGTATTTTGAAGGTATTATCTATGCACATATTCTTTACACTTCATACTGTAAACATTTCCACATTCCTTGTTGAATATTTTTAACATTCCATCCATTTCGATAACAGAAATATTTTACAGTTTTCTATGTTACATTTGATATTGTACATTTGACTTCTTATGTGTATAACTCTTGACTTTTGCAGTACTCATTTCTTATTTTTCACTTATTATGTTTGGTTTTGTTTTACGCCAAATTCTAAGGCAAATGTATTGATTGTATGACATTTTAAACCTTGCTAAAAAGATCAAAAATGGCATTCTGGGAGTAAAGGATCATGACAATATGGGATGAAGGATCTTAAATGATGCTATTGCACAGAGTAATCTTAGGGATTTGTAATTAGTTTCTTATGAACTGCATTTGCCTGTGAAAAGTATATCAAATCAAAAGACATGTCTTATCAGCAGCCACCATTACATTAAGTTAAATTAGCTCATCAACAGATATAAACATATTCACAAATGTAATTATTTCTAAGTATACTAAATGATACAGCATACTTTTTGAGGAAAAAAACAGAAGTCGGGGCCGAAATGGAAATGCAAAACCATCAGAAATCATTTTGTATTGAAATCCATTACAAAATCCACATTTACTTTACAAAATGTGTGAAAAAGTTAGATTTTAATGCAATTACAATGTGTAGATTTGGAGTGGAAGATTTTGTAAAAATGTCTTGAGAACAATTGACTGAGCAATGGGAGAAAATGCATTGCGATACTGTTTGCCACAATAATCTCTTTAAATACCTCCACTAGAGGGCACACATCTGAGATATTTCCTGAATACGCAGGAGGCTCTAAGGCAGGGGTCTCAAACTCAAGGCCCGGGGGCCAAATCCGGCCCACGACTTCATTTTATGTGGCCCCGCAAGAGCTTGCAAAGAATATAATACGTTTATTATAGGGTTACATGCCACTATACAGAAGCAGGTTGCCCATAAACTACATGTCCCACAATGCATCTCGTTTTGTGACATGCGCACTGAAGAGACTTGCAATTATTTGCCCTGGACTTCTGCTTTCAGACGTAGTTAATTACCAAGTTATTATCCTATCCGATAATAATCCAATTCAGAGGCAATAATGTAATATAATAGATTATTTTATATATATATATTATGTATTTATATAGTTACAACCGGCCCTTTGAGTGCAACCTTTATGCGAATGTGGCCCGCGATGAAATTGAGTTTGACACCCCTGATCTAAGGGGAGGATGTGTGTTTTTTTGAGAACCTTAGACTTAAGATTTCATTGCCAACAACTACGCTGTAACCATTGTGCATCTGACAATAAAGCCTTTGAATGGTTGAAATCTTTGATTTGCTAGATTCGCCAAGAGATTTCCACATAAACTATAAATATATAAATAAGCTTTGATAGATTTAGCTTTTCACTTTTTGCCTCTATGAGCAGAAGTAACAGTGGCGCTTTGCTGAATGCAAAGACGATTACGTTTTTCACATTTGCATTTATTTGCCTAAATGTGGGGTATTTGAAGAGCTGCAAGTTTTTCGATCTATATTCTAATGCTATTCACCCACCCTACCAGGAAAAGGTTTCTTGGTATAAAAGTTTAGGTTATTAAATGTGCATGAAACAGTGTGCATAAGCTGGTTTAATATTCTTTGTCTCACTGTTTTATTTTTTTTATTACACCTCAGCTCCATGCGTGAATCAGAGTGTGAGGTTTAGTGTTTGAGGGCACAGACAGAACAAATTTATCATGGGTACCTCTGTTGCAAATATTGTTTTAATTTCAACAGATACTGTGCGATATAAGCAAGGTAAGAAATGATGCATCTAGAATAAAGGGTTGTGTCTTAGAGACTTTTGTTAAGTAGTTTTCAGGAGGTACAGATAAACCGGTAGGGTTCCAGTTGTGTTGGATTATTTATAAATTATTTAATTCCAGGTTAAGGTAAAAAGCACAGGCCTATTTAATTTTGGTCAAATAATAGAACTAGTAAAATGGCTCTAGGTGAATTGAACAAGGTAACATCGGTAGTTCATTGTTAGTGCGGCTATCATAGTAATTTTAAATAATCATTCAAACATAAAAGACTGCCACCGTGATAGGAAACATTCTGAGCAAAGTTATATTATCCATCCATCCATCTTCTCCCGCTTATCCGTGGTCGGGTCGCGGAGGTAGCAGTTCCAGCAGAGAGCCCCAAACTTTCTTTTCTCTGGCCACATCAACCAGCTCTGACTGGGGGGTCCCAAGGCGCTCCCAGGCCAGCGAAGAGATATAATCCCTCCACCTGGTCCTAGGTCTACCCCTTGGTCTCTTCCCAGCTGGACGTGCCTGGAACACCTCCATAGGGAGGCGCCCAGGTGGCATCCTAACTAGGTGCCCGAACCACCTCAACTGGCTCTTTTCGACACGAAGGAGGAGCGGTTCAACTCCGAGTCCCTCCCGGATGACTGAACTTCTCACCTTATCCCTAAGGGAGACAGCAGCCACCCTGCGGCGAAAACCCATCTCGGCCGCTTGTATCCGCGATCTCGTTCTTTCGGTCATGACCCATCCTTCATGACCATAGGTGAGGGTAGGAACAAAAATGGCCTGGTAGACAGAGAGCTTTGCCTTCTGGCTCAGCTCTCTTTTCGTCACAACGGTGCGGTAAAGCGACTGCAGTACCACTCCCGCTGCTCCGATTCTCCGACCCATCTCACGCTCCATTGTTCCCTCACTCGAGAACAAGACCCCGAGATACTTGAACTCCTTCACTTGGGGTAAGGACTCATTCCCTACTTGGAGTGGACAGTCCATCGGTTTCCTGCTGAGAACCATGGCCTCAGATTTGGAGGTGCTGATCCTCATCCCAGCCGCTTCA